AGATTTACATTTGATTTTACTGGGCCAAAATTGTTCTTGTAAACAACGGTTAATTTCTTTATCATGACCTTACCAAAAGCCAGTTTTCTCATCAGTGAGTAAAATGTTTGTCCTTGGGAAGCTTATAATCTAGACAACCTGAGATATACAGACGGGCGTTAAGAGAATACACCATACCATATGTCACCTTGCTCATCTGCTTATTGACTTCATTATTTCAACACTGACTTAGAGCTAAGAACCTGAAATAAAACTACCTTTGTCAGGTACACCAAACTTCCAAAGCAGCAAAATATCAAGCAGTTACCCATCCATGCCTTTTAACAAAATAAAAAGCTCTCTAGGTACCAGTACCAAGTTATACACAACATACGCTATTTTGGTCAACAGCGGATGGCATGTGCAAGACGGTACATGAGATTATGGCCTCATGATATCACAGCCATCTTGGTTTCCATCTTGATGTCACACAACAATAAGGCACTTCTCACAATGTATCCCATCATTAAGCAACTCATGATTGTTCTCTCAGATCTAAACATAAAAAATTGGTTTTCCAGTGGTTTGTTTTATTAGAAGTTGTAAATTCTAAAAGCTTGTTAATTAGAGAAGGAAAAAGACTACAGGACCAAAAATTCAAAATAGTTCATCCATCAAACACTGAAAAAATTCCTACTAAACACAAAGGTGAAGAGGATTCAAATATGGTACTTTTCATCCAACAAGTTGGTACAAGTTTCTTAAAATGAGAATCCCTTTACTAGCAAGGGATTATGGAAATAAGCCCCTTAAACGTTCTGAGAGGAATGGGAGGATATATTCTATAGGGCAATTTGGTAATATGCATCAAAAGCTTTGCTCTGCATGTCCTCTAAGTAATTATGCAATAGAAATATAGGCTATGAAAATCACAAGTGGCAATAAAGATCTATGACAAGTAGCTTATCACTGTATTAATTAATTGTAATAGTGAAAAAGCAGATGCACTGTAATGTCCATAGTAACATATAAATTATATTATATGTCAAAATATAGTGTAGTTGGCACATGCCTGTAATCCTAGCACTTGGGAGGCTGAGGCAGGAGGATCACCATGAATTCAAGGCCAGCCTGGGCTACACAGTGAGTTTAAGGCCAGCCTGAACTATACAGCAAGACCCTGTCTCAAAAAACAAAAAAATATAGTAATTAAAAGCCCTCCAAAAGAAGTTTTAAGGATTTAAGAAAATACAAAGATTATTTAAAAATCTTTTATAAAAATAACATATAAGGTACAGTGCCCAATTCTGAACTTACTAATAATAATAGAAAAAAAATATATATATATATATATAAAATTCCTGGCCTCTCAACTTAAATGCTCATAAGTGTGTAGAGGCTTTTTTTTTAAAACCAAGTGTAACTTTCTTCATTACGAAATAGTAATAATAACAGTGCCTACCTCATAGGAATTAGTAACTCCTGTTCTGGAACTCAGTTCCAAACATGGCATTAATAATGTCAAAACCTCACAAAAAGCCTTAAACACTGCACCTTTCAATTGCAATAACTTTCTATCTGCTGTCCTTTAAATTTTTCCTCACACTGATTCTCTTTCAGCCAACAGAACTTAATTCTATTCTACCTGTACTACGAATATTAACAGTATGCATGAAATTAGGCTGTTCGAATGTGAATCCTGGATTCACCTACTAGCTGTGCGGCCCTGGGCAAGTAAATTAACTCTACTTTTTGGTTTCTTTTGGGGTTAATAGTCACATCCTCTGGCTGTCCTAATAATGTTTAAACCCACATAACACACTTTGCTTTGCACACAATGTCCTTAGCACACAATGCCTGGCCCAGGAGATGTATCTTTTCAATGTTGGCTATGAGATTTACTTCCCCTAAAAAAAAATCACCTACCCAGTGGGCTGCTCCCCTCCATGGTTTCTACAAAATGCCCCCTCGTGACCTTTTCTGGTAGTGGTCTCACACAGGAAGCACCATTCCTTCACCACCACCACCACTGCCGCGGCCAACCACCAGAGTATGCATTCAGCATTTACGCTGCATATTCAAGGTGACAAGCTGGAAATACAGGAAAAACAAACAGTCCCAACTCTCACAACTCACAGTTGAATAATGAAAGACAGCCAGAGAAAAGGCGCAATAATGGGTTACTGTGCCAAGAGAAGCCCTCCCTGGAGGCAGTGGAGGTACCTGCACTGAAGACTGGGTGAGTCAAGCAGAGCGGGTGCATGTGGGATTAGAGCACAGTCACTGAACTGAGTCCAGCTCTGCTGGAGCACTGCGGCTGAGGGTGGCCAAACTGACCGGCTGCATGAGGGTGGTCACGAAGTCTCTGCACTGTATTCGAGAGGCAACAGGCAGTCACTAAATGATATTAAGTAGGATTTGGTGCTTGGGCTTAGGAAGGCGAAAATGCCCTGTCCAACATGGAAACGACGCATGACTACTGACTTAAAGCGTGGCTACTGTGACAAAGGAACAAAATTTAGTTTTAATTAAATTTTAAAATCTGATATGCAATTCCAGTTTCCAGAAAACTATTATGTAAGTTTGGAAAAATTACAGCATGTGAATTCACCTTTTCAACGGTTAAATTTAGAGAACTCTAAATACAGATGAAGTATTTCTGATGAAAATTTAACATCCGAACTGAAATGAGGCTGGGCATGGTGGCACACACATCTCAGCCAAGTCAGGAGGATTGCCATGAGTTTGAGGCCAGCCTAGACTATATAGTGAGTTCAAGGCCAGCCTGAACTACATGGTGAGACCCAGTCTCAAAAAAAAAAAAAAAAAATTGAAATGGGATATGTGTAAAGCACTACAATAAAACTATTACAAAAAAGTAAAACATTTCAATAATAATCTTTGTATTAACAACATGCTGAAGTGATGTGAATGTATTAAAGACATTAAAATTAACTTCATCTATTTCTTTCTAATGCAATTACAAAAAAATATAAAATGACATGTGACTTGTACTGCACCATCTACTCGCAGCGCTGACCAAACAGATCCAAGGATGGAAGAAAAAGACTGGAATCAGGAAGACCAATTACGAGACTTTCACAGCACCCAGATACCACAAACAACCCTGAATTATCTAAATTCTAACTACCTTCAAAACCAAATTTAAAAGGCACTACTACCACCACTTTCAAAAGCTTTTCCCATTGCACCAATTTCTGCCTTTCTCTGAGCTCCTGGGATGGGTACCATCTGCGGTATTCCCTTCAGCACTTAATCATTTAATGTCATCATTTCTATTTAATTTTGGAGTGATTTCTTTCTCAGACTAGACCAGAAGTTCTACTATAAGAGCCATTATTTAGGCATCTTTAATTTGTCAATGTTTTCAGTATCTTCTTAACAGAAGTCTATGGTTCTCCATATGTGCCACCATATAAACACCAATGTGGCTGACCTTTTGACAGCAGAAAACACAAAATTTCCGCTGGCAGAGATAACCTCTGTAACCTAAACATTAAGAACTTCAAGTTGAGCTTGACGGCGCACACCTGTGATCCCAGCATTTGACTGAGGCTGAGGCAGGAAGACTGTCCCAAGTTGCAGTTCAGACTGGGCTATATAGTGAGTTCAAGTTCAGTGTGAACTACACAGTGAGTTCAAGGCCAGCCTGAGTGAAATCGCCTCAAAAAATTCTTTTAAAAAGAATTTTCCTTTCAAGAGGAAAAAATATACAACTTTAAATTTTAAAAATTAACCCCTAGATCAATTCTTCTAATAAATAACACACTTTTCTCCAAGTTGCCATTTTTTCATCTAAATTACAGTAAGTTCAAGAAAAAAATCTTAAGGGAAATGTTAAGTTGTATATATTTTACCATATCATGTATTTAAATTTTCTGGGAACCCTTAAATACAAAAACAAATACCCATACAACTTGTCAGCTTTTACCACTACACAACCGGAAGCTAGTAGCAACTAGTTGACAGTTAAGAGAACACTTAACTCATCTTCTAGAAATTTGGCAATTCTCAGATTTTTAACGTTTGTTTGCCATTAAAAACATAAAGCAGGCAAGTAATCAGAAATATGTTACAAGATCAGAATTAAGCTTTCTTGTAACTGGTTTCATGGCTACAAAGCTAATACAACAAAGTGCATCTCAGGTTTCGAAGTATCTCCAATCTGGCAATCAAAGATCGAGTGAGGACAGCTCCCAATTCCGACAGGCAGAGTAAGGCAGCAATGGGGGAAACCTGTTAGAAAACCTGGACGAAAGCAAGGAGTTAAAAACGAAGTCATTTCCTTTAGCACTGTGGGAAAATCCCAGTTGCTCACAGAAAGCCGAGCAAAGTTTAGTTTGGCTGGTTTCATTTTGTTTTCCTTCCAACATCAGCACCGAGCAAGAAGGACTGCTTTCCTCCCATTAGTCAGTTACTCTCCCCCCCGCCTGCGCTCACTCGAGCTGTCTTCCGGCGCCGGGCTCCCCAGCCTCCCAGATCAACACCCGCCCCCGCCCGCGTCCCTGCAAACGTGCTCAGACGCCTCTGGGCATGTTGTGGTCTCGCCAGTCTGCGGGCGAGCGCTCCCAACTCAATGCACAATGGAGCTCACCCCTGTCCACGCCAACTACAAAGCTCAAGAGGGTCATTTCCCTTTTCCTGCCCAGATGCTGTTTTGCCTCCTTCCAGGCAAGGTCCTGCGCTCGAGGACAGCCCCAGTCCTCCTTCCCCACCTGCAGAGCTGCTAAGCCCCTCGACCTCCAAGTAAGTTGGGAGGCATCTCTCAGGCCAAAAGGGGACCCCGGCCCGGGGCTCGGTGAGAGGCTCCGGCTTCCCAGTTCAGGTGGGACAGGGAGAGGATGTCTCGGCACTTGGTCACGGCCCTTAGGACTAAGCCCTCTCCCGTCCCCTCCCGACCTCAACTTGCCTCCCCTCCCCCTACAGGGAGGAGACCCGGGAGGTGCGGGCAGCCAGCACCAACACTCCCTCCTCCAGTGGAGCCCTCGACCCACACTCACCCCTTCACCACAAAGAAGGGGTCCTCCATGGACATGGCGTCCGGGCCCCTGGCCGCCTCCGCTGCTCCGCGCACAGGGCGCTAGCGCCCTCCTGGCCTTCCTCCGCTCGCTCACTAGCCTCCTGCGTCTCGGCCAGGAGGACTCAGAGCAGCGGGCAGGCGCCCAGGCCAGGGTGCCCGGACGGCCGCTGGTCCAGCGCTAGGTCAGCACCACCGGCCGAATCCAGGACTCCGGAGTCGGCCCCCGCGGCAGCCTCCCCTCAGCGCGTCTGTCGCCCTGACCCCGCCCCTTGGGCCCTCAGCCGCAGCCAATCACAAGCGAGGCTATTTGCTCCACTTCCGCACTCGTGCTGACGTGCCATCATCGGCTCCGCCCCGAGGGCGGGGCCTGAGCATGCGTCACTCGGGACTGGGGGCGGGGCTCTGACTTGCAGCTCAGGCTTTAGGGAGGAGGGCCGGCAGGTGTTGGAAAGGTGCAGCCCTACCTGATTTGTATGATCCTTTTACCTTTCCTTTACTTCTAATACTTGATTTTGACGATATATGATATATAAATCCGTCTCATCCTCCACTTAACAATAAACTATCCTCACACACATTATCTGATCGTGATAAGCCCACGTAACTCCTTTACCTAGGTTGTGAAATGTACTAAACGCTGTGTATGCATCATCTCAATACTCCTATGGGGACAGTATTGTCCCACTTTGACGGTTATAAAATAAATTCAGAGAGGTTTCAAGATCTCCTGTGGTTGCACACCTGGACAGGCCAGAGGCACATATTCCGTGCTCTTCCTGCCAGACGGGGTGTATTTTCTTTTGCAGTACATTTTGCAAAAGTCTGCTCAGGTAATTTTTAAAAACTGCCTATGGTGTTTCCCAGGAGAGAGCACTTTTGAGGGTTAAAAAAGAGGCCAAATACGGTAACTTCCTTCAGCCATGATTTAAGAATTTTCCCAGAGTGATTAGACAGTTATGTGTTAGACATGCTATGGCTTTCCTGGGTGGGGATCGTGAGTTTTAATTGCTAATTATCACTGAGCACTTACTGTGTAGCAGGGTTCTAAGTGTTGTCCCTGTTGCTCTCACAATGAGGTAACTGCTGTTATTTGTTCTCTACATTTTATGAATGAGGAATCTGAGACCCTGGGAGGCTAATTGACTTGCCCAAGGTCACCAGTCTCTGGATCAGGCAGAGTCCTCAGAGTCAGATAACCCTTTTGAACCTGCACTCTATCATTCAGTTTCTCATCTTTAAAATGTAAATAATAGGGGCTGGGGATTTAGCTCAGCGGCAAAGTGCCTGCCTGGCAAGCGCAAGGTCGTGAGTTCGGTTCCCGGTACCGGACAAAAACCAAAAAAAAAATAAAAATAAAAATAAAATGTAAATAATAGTACCTAGCTTGCAGGTTATGAGGTTAAATAAAAACGCATGTAAACCTAAGGTCTCAAAGGAGGGAGGTCATGAAGTCAGGAAGCTGCTGTGGTCACCCCGGTGTAAGGGAAAAGCCAGAGTAGGATGACAGCAATTGAGAACAGAAGGAAAGGTGCTAATCTGATGTATCTAAGGCAAAACAAAACAAAGACATGATGGAATGAATAAGGTTGAAGAGTGGAGAGAAAAGAGAGGTGGAAGTCAAACGCTCTAGGCTTCTCTGAGACCCTGTCTGAGCATTGCAGACAGATGTGGGGACAGGAAGCTATCGGGGAAAAAATTGCTTAATTTGGTTGTGGATGTATTGAGACAGGGAGATAAAATGGGATCATTAGTCATTCAATAAACACATGGATATTGAGCTGCAGTTGAGCATAGTGATTCGGAGCCACACATGGAGCCTGATTGCCTGGGTTTAAATCCCATTTCCGCTACTTCTTGATTGGTATATCTTGGACAAGCTGCTTGGGATCTCAGGGTCCTCAACTGTGAAATGGACACCGTGACACCTTCCTCATAGAATGTCACAAGGATTGAATAGGTGTGTAAAAGGAGCTTAGGACAGTGCCTGGCCTATGTTGTGCCCAGTCTGTTCTAGGCACTAAGGACACAGAGATAAGTAAGAGTTGGTCCTCGGCTCCAAGGAACTCTCAGACCAATGAGAGAGACAGGTAGGTATACACAATGAGAGGAGGGCACAGTTTGCCTTAGAAATGCACAGACCCAAGCCAGGTGTGGTGGCACACACTTGTGATCTTAGCACTCAGGAGGCTGAGGCAGGGGATTACTGTGAGTTCAAGGCCAGCCTGGGCTACATAGTTCAAGGTCTGTCTGAAGTACATAACAACACCCTGTCTCACAAAAATACAAAATGTAAACCCCTGGTACCAAAGATAAGACACCAGTTTGCTTGTGTGTATGTCAGCGCTGGGGACAGAGAGGGAGGTATTCTAAACAGTGCCTAGGAGAAGAATAGTTGCTTGTGATGCAGGACAGTGTGGCACCTGAGGAGCCATGGCAGAAGGTGTGGTTGCAGCAGCAGGAGTTAAGGCTGGAGGTGGGCAGTGTAGGATTGTTGGGAGCCTTGTTGGTGATGTTTAGCACTGTGGACCCTCTCCTGTAGATCATGGGAATCGAGGGAATTGACTGGTCAGATTAGCCTTTGAGAGAGATGCTACAGTGGCTAGATGGTCATGAGCCAGAGGAGGGATGAGGGAACCCTGAGCCAGAGTCATGGCAACCAAGGGTGAGGAGGGATGCATTTGAGAACTACAGTAGAGACAAAACCCATAGACCAGGTGACTGGTTGGTTCGGCGTGTGGAGTAGTGAGAGAGGAAGAGGAAGTCTTGCAGGGCCCAGGGTTGCAAGTGGGTAGCTGATTCCAGTCACCAAGAAAGAGAACTCAGAGGAGGATTTGATTTAGGGTGGCCATTAATTCACTGAGTATGTTGATCTTCCCCACTAAACCATTACTGCTGGATAGATATTATGGCAATGTTTTACTACCTCACGGCCTAGCATAGCCTCCTATTGTCTGTTCCATGAATTTATTAATTGGATCAAAATTTAAACATCAGAGTTTTTTAAGTTGAAACATGACGGAAGACAGAGGCTTAGAAATTCCAATAATTAGGGCTTTGGCAAAAGCACCAACAGTGTAGATATTGGAGGGTTGAGATAAGAAATCTGTGTGGGTATGTGGGTGGTATTCCTTTCTTTAATGTGTCAGCCCCTATTTCTCTCTCTCAAACTCAACCAAGGCCACAGCCTTCACTGTTCCAGGGAAAGGGAAGCTTTAGCTAAAATGCAAGTAGAAACAAAGGAAGTTATTTCTTTGTTCTTGGGTCATTCCTCTCCTCCCCCATGTAACAGCCCAGGTCCCTGCATAAACAATAGCTTAGGAAGAATACTTAGCAAAAAGCCATCTCCTCCTCCACTTCCACCCCAGCCCCCACCCCCCTAAAAAAGAATTAAAATCTGTATCCTCACACACAGCAGGTACTCAGCTACAGAACAGGATGAGGCAGGAGCGTCAAAAGTTCAAGGCCAGCCTGAGCAATATAGGGAGACCCTAGCTCAAAACAAAACAAAACAAACAAACAAACAAAAAACAAAAAACTGAGAATATAGCTTACTGGTAGACCTCTACCATAAATACTACGGCCCTAGGTTCAATTCCTGATATTATAATTAAAATTTCTAACAGAGTAAAATATCAAAACAGTTGCTGGGGGAGGTGGTGGATACCTGTAGCCCCAGCACTTAGGAGGCTGAGGCAGGAAGATCACCATGAGTTCAAGGCCACCCTGAACTATATAATGAACTTTGTCTCAGAAAAGAAAGAAAAAGAGAGAGAGAGAGGGAGGGAGAAGAAGGAAGGAACGAAGGGAAAAATAGCAGCTGCTTTGGGGTGGAGAGTATTGACTGAGAAGGCAAACTTTCTGCAGAACTAGAAATGCTCTGTATCTTGACAGGATGTGGGTTACAGGAGTGTGTGTGTTTGTCAGCCCACTGTGACAGTTAAATTCTTTTCACCTTGCTAAGGGAGCCTGAGACACCAAGTTTTTCTGTAGCATATGAGAGGGCATCCAGAAGAATCTCTGGTTCCTTGGTGAGGCTCCAAAGTTAGGAGAATGAGTGATGGAAGGAGCTTACTGGGGTCCTGTAAGACATTTGTGCAGAAATAAGGAGACAGCAATGTGAACATAGGGCACAGGTGGCCAGGCAACAGAGCCATTGAGGATTAGAAAGGATGGAATCATTTCATTGCAAGGATGCCGTGATAGACTGAGATTGCAATGGGTAGCCACCCCTCTCCCTAAAGCTATGGAAGTGTCCAAACGCCCTTCCAAGGGGATTTCATCCCTCTAACATGGAAATAGTAATACCTAACCTGTTCCCTCACTAGGTTACAATGGAAATCATAATCAGGGTCATATATGTAGCACATTTTGTGAAGTATGAAATAGTACAAGCCACGCGAAACTTTGTCTTAAAATTGCTCTTTTTTAAAGCTGGGCGTGGTGGTGCATGCCTGTTATCACAGCACCTAGTCTCAGGCAGGAGGATTGCTGCAAGTTCAAGGCCAGCCTGAATTGTATAGTGACACCCTGTCTCAAAAAATACAAAATAAATAAATAAACAAATATTAAAAACCCAAAAGATGTTTTTTCTTAATTGTGACAAAAATACATACAACATAAAATTCACTGTCTTGGGGCTAGGGATTTAGCTTAGTGGCACAATACCTGCCCAGCAAGTACAAGATCCTGAGTTCGATTCCCAGTACCAGAAAAAAACCAAAAAAAAAAAAAAAAAAAAAAGTAAAATTCACTGTCTTAACCATTTTTGAGTGTACAATACAGTAATATTAAGTACATTCACGTTGTTGTGCAACCAATCTCCAGAACTCTTTGCATCTTGCAAAACCGAAGCTTCTACACCCTGTGAACAACTCTCCATTGTCCCATCCCCCAGTCTCTGGCAAGTACTTTCCACTCTCTGTCTGTATGAATTTTACTACTCTAGGTACCTCATATAAGTGGAATCGTACAGAATCTGTCTTTTGTGACTTGCTTGTTCACTGTGCATAATGTCCTCAGGGTTTGTCCATACTATAGTGTATTGCAGAATTTCTCTTCTGGCTGAATGGTGTCTCACTGTGTATATATCACATTGTGTTTATCTGTTCAACCATCACTGGGCATTTGGATTGCTGTCACCCTTTGTATCATGAATAATGTTACTATGAACACAGATTGTTATGGCTTGTGTCTGGATGTCCTCCCAAAGCCTTATGCAATCATAGATGGGCCTTTTTGGAGGTGGCAGAATCTAAACTGTGTGATAGTGGGATCAAGGATGTGAAGCTGGGATTGATTCACAGTTTGATGCTAGGATTAAGGGGGTGAGTATTACCTGCCCTCAGGATGGGTAGCCTGGATAAAATACAGAAAGGGTCTTGGTACTTGTAGCTTGCTTGCTGCTTTGCTTTTTCACTACTTTGTAGTACTCACTTTGGCAGCACATATACTTCACTACTCTGTGATGCCCCTCTGCCATGCCACCCTGCCTTGGAGCCAGCCAACTATGAACTGAAACCTCTACAAACCGTGAGCCAAATAAACCTTTCTTTCCTCCTTTAACAGTATGTGTCAGGTATTTTGTCTTGCAACAAGAAAAGTAACTAAGACACAGATGCACAAGTACCTCTTCAAAATTCTGTTTTTAACTATTTTGGTTATCTGTAGTCCCTAGATACTGGTGGATTATATGGTAATTCCATTTCAAATTTTTTGAAAAACTGTTTTTCTGTAGTGGCCGCACTGTTTTACATTCTTATTAAAAGTGCACAAAGGTTACAATTTCTGCACATCCTCACCAACACTTGCGACTTTCTGATTTCCTTGTGTTTTTAATGATTGCCAGCCTAATAGGTTTGAGGTGGTATCTCATTATTGTTGCAATTTGCATTCCCCTAATGATTAGTAGCATTAAGCCTCTTTTCATGTGCTTATTAGCCATTTGTATCTTCCCTGAAGAATGCCTATCCAAGTCTTAATTGGGTTGTTTGTTTTGTTGAATTCACTCTAAGTCCTTTGTGAAACAAGATAGGGTAAAAGTGTTAAATAGATGTAAAGTAGAGTAAAAGGAGAGAAGTGTTACATACATATGAAGTAGTGTAATCTTCATTATTGCAACTTTAAAGAACCCTGATGTGCATGTGTATCCTCTGGGACATTCCAGGAAACATCTGTTCAAGGTAAGTTCAATGGATCCAGCTGTGGTTATCCACATTTTCACCTCAACCACAGGGATATCCACACCAAATCCACACACTGGTTGTGCTTTCTTTCTTCTCCTTGATTACTACCAACACTCCTACCCTCCCCCTCTGGTTTAAAGTAAACAAAGAGGAATTTTGGTCAGCTTGCATATTTAACACTGAGGAGCAATTAAGAATTTGTGGAATGTCTATTGATGCTCTTTAGAACTGTGGCTTAAAGTATATGATGATGTGAGAATGGCTTGAGTGAAAACAGAATGACACAAAATTGTGTATATGAGTTTTGTTTTGTTTTGAGACAGGGTCTCTCGCTGTATAGTTCACTCTGACCTTGAACTCACTATGTAGCTCAGACTGATATGGAACTCACAGTGATTCTCCTGCCTCAGCCTCCTGAGTGCTGGGATAACAGGCATGTGCTGCCATGCCTGGCCTATATGAGATGTTTTGAGCTATTCATTTTCATTTGTAGAAAAGATTTTGTACATAGAAAATTTTTATACATAGAAAAGAAATGTATTTGAAGTTTGGCACTGGTGCTGTAGCTCCATAGCAGAGCGCTCACCTAGCACATATGAGGTCCTGGGTTCAATTCCCCAGCAGTGCAAAAAAAAAAGTTTAGCAACGTTAGCTGGGCGCGGTGGTACACACCTGTAATCTAAGCACTCAGGAGGCTAAACCAGGAGGATCATCATGAGAATCACTATGAGTTTGAGATCAGTCTGGGCTACACAGTGAGTTCAAGGCCAGCCTAAACTACAAAGTGAGACCCTATCTCAACACCCCTGTAAAATAAAATAAATTAGATAAGATAAAATGAATTTCAGCAACTTTCAACAATGAAAGTTTTACTTGAATAATCAGAAATGCAAAAAGTTAAAAGTAGCATTACCAGTTGCCTACATTTACTTACTATGCACCAGACATACTAATATTAACATGGTATACAAGCATTATTTTCAGAATCAACTCCAGAATTTCCATGTGGGAACCTTCCAGAATATAGTCTGGCTGCATGGCAGGGACAGGGGACTGGGACTGAGGTTGCACAACAACCCATTCTTTTTTTTTTTTTTAAGTTATACATTCATTTGAGATGGCTCAAGAGTACTAATAGGGATTCTGTGTGTGTAGCAATAAGCTCCAGTATCCCAACAATACACTGGCATGTTATTCCAGCACTAGCAAGAGACTTTGAGAGGTCTTTGGGAGGGGCACAGCGGTATACACACTTGTTAAACAAGTAATAAAGAACAAAGGGAGGAAGGAAGAAGGAAAGGAAGACAAAAACACAATGAGTAGAGAAGGTACAAAGAGGTGCTTAGAGATCACCAACTATTAATTTCATTATTTGGTTTCTTCTTTTCTTTTGAGTGAAGGAAGGCATATCAGTTTCTCATTGCTGCTATACGAAATTACCACAGATGTGACCTAAAACAGTGCAGTTCTGGAGGTCAGAGGTCTGAAAGTGAGTCTTATGGACTATCAGTGTATTGGTGGGCTACACCCCTTCTGGAAGCCTGGGGAGAATCTGTTGCTCCTCGTTCCAGCTCTAGAGGCTGTCTGTGTTCCTTGGCTCGTGTGCCCCTTCCACAATGCACTCTGACCTCTGCTTCCATTGTCACATCTCTTTCTCCAACTCTGACCCTTCACCTCTCTCTAATAAGTATCCTATGATTACACGGTGCCCACGAGATAATCCAAGATAATCTTCTCCATCTCAAGATCCTTATCTGCAAAGTCCCTTTTGCTGTGTAAGGCAGCACATTCACAAGTTCTGGGGATTAGGATGCGGACATCTTTGGGGCATCATCCAGGCTACCAGAGAGGGAAACCAGTATGTACAGTTCTGCTACTTCTCAAGTGCATAATGAACAGAACTTCATCAAGTCCTCCTTCAAGTCTCCTGTGAAATCCACGCTAGGATTTGTTTTCACAGTTGAAGATGAAGATAGCAAGGCTCAGTGCAATTTGGGATTCTACCTAGAGTCAAACAGCTGGGATGCAAGCAAGTCCCTGAATCTGGGCTCTGGCCTGAACTGCTTCATGGCCATGCCGCCAGTCTTCACTCCTATTCTCCTCTATTTCCTCTTTCCCATCTGGGCTCATTCCCAGCTCCCCGGATGAGTTTAAACTACTGTTTTCTAACTCATCATGTGGTCTTGATGACAGTGTAGCCACAGTTTGATCCTAGAGATTGTGGACTGAGCAAGCTGAAGGGCTGCCCCTCAGAATCTTCTCTAAGGCATTTTTCCTGCCCTCTTCCATAAGAATTTTGGAGCCTATTGTGCTATCTCAGGAAGACAGACTTAAGCCAAAAAATATATGACAATCTAACTGATACATGGTGTCTACATATGATATATGGACTACTTGCTATATCAGACACTGTGGAGAGTCAGAAAAGGGAGTTCCAGACCCTGGGACCTTGGTGTGAGTTTCTCATTGACCCCTGAGCAAAATCTAAACTCCAGGGAAGAAGCAAAGGCAGCATCTTGAACTCTCTGAGTAATCATTATTACTATTTTTGGGTTCCTTATGCCTTGCATGTAACTATTCTTTACAAATACTTAAAAACTGGGAAGAAAATGAAGACAGCAATGCAAAATAGAGCTAGACTTGTCTGAAACTAACAAAGGGTTAACAGTTACTGCTTTCATTTTGAAATCTTCTACCTAGCAACTGATGACGCTGCATATTTTCCCCTGTTCTTATTGGTAGAGGGTCCTATGCGTTACTCATTGCTAAATGAGAAGACTGGAGTATAAGTTCTCAAAAGGATTAACAGGAACTCGTCAGTGTTTTGGAAAGAGAAGCACTTTGGTGAGGGCTGATGGTGCTCTTGTTACCTCTCATCACTGTATTGATGGTGAAGTTCACCCATGCTCGTGAGTATCCCAAGTGCTCTTTGCCTGTAATTCCAAAGCTGAGACGGCCTAAGAATGGCAGCTTTGCTTTCTAAAACTCATGGAAACATGAAGCAGTCAGGGACAGAAGTGCGTGTATATCACACACAGAACCTGAAGTAGCTACAGGCCAGTTGAATTGTTTTCTGGTGTATTATTTGCAAGATTTTGATGAAAGAGGTGGAAGCCACTCTGGAAAGAGCCTTCTGGTAACTTCCTCACTTTCCCTCAGAGCACGGCCTCCTTTCTTTTTTTGCTCATATCCTTTCTCCCCCCTTTATTTTTTACTTTTGTTTCACAGCTTTTCTAACTTAGTGAGTCTCAGGAGATTGTAGTCAGAGTTTCAGGGCACTGAACAGTGGAGCAGATCCACTGTTCACATTTATCGTTGTGTTTCTCCCTTACCGCAAGCCCTGTGTAACAAAAGATCCCAGAAAGATGAAACCGTGGCTCCGGCTTTGTTTCTTGGGTATAAGAAATGTTAATGGAGTAGAAGGAAAAGTATTTTTTATTGTTTAGCGGGCTCGTGTCAGTAGGGAAGCAGAAGCCTTCTGTTTCTTCATATACACGAGAAAGCTTTTGGGGGAGCAGGAAGCATCAGCCTACTCTGTGCTGCACAACTGTTATGGTCAGGGCACTGGCACTGGGGCCGGGCACCACTGTGACCAATGAACATGGCAGGGAGGAGCTCCTTGAAGCCATGTGAGCATCATTTCTACAGATATTGTTTGGTGCCCTACTATGTGCCAGGTACTTTAGGGATATGACAAAGTTTCTATGCAAAACTAACCCAGGAAGGGGCTGGGGATTTAGCTCAGTGGCAAAAGCGCCTGCCTGGCAAGCGCAAGGTCGTGAGTTTGGTTCCCGGTACCGGAGAAAAACCAAAAAACAAAAAAGCCCATGTTTTAGGGGCTGGGGATTTAGCTCAGCGGCAAAAGCGCCTGCCTGGCAAGCGCAAGGTCGCGAGTTCGGTTCCCGGTACCGGAGAAAAACAAAAAAGCCCATGTTTTAGGGGCTGGAGATTTAGCTCAGCGGCAAAAGCGCCTGCCTGGCAAGCGCAAGGTCGTGAGTTCGGTTCCCGGTACCGGAGAAAAACCAAAAAAAAAAAAAAAAACTAACCCAGGAAGTCTCACCACTAATTCAGAAATGGGAAAGAATGGGGATGAGGTAAGAGGCAGAAGATGAAGAGAGGAAGGAGGGAGGTAAGGAGGATAGTTCTAGAAGTTAAGAAGTTCACGTATTACCTGCATAAAATCCACAAATTACTCTCCAATATATGAGACAATATTCCTTAAACATATTATCCCATGTGATGATCTCAGTAACGCTTTTGGTAGGCTAACATCCCCTTTTAAAGATAAGCCCTCAATTTTCCTCTAGGCATAGAGAGATTGACTTTGTTCACATAGTGAGCGGTCTTCTGACCATAGGTCCAGGGCTTTTCTGCAATACTATGGTACCTCTGCATGTGAACACTTGGAATTTTGACAACTGGTGGAATGAACAACAAAAGAAGTAAGCTATAAAGCACAGAGGAGGATGTCACTTAGTGCTGGTTATTCTCCTTTTGCTTGCTTACACTCCGTCTTTCTCTGTGCTCTTTCGTGTCCCAGAGGTTGATTGCTACAGACTATATACCACCTGGTCTCCCTTGTGGTCTGATTTATGTGTGTGCTCACCTAGTGGGAGACACTGAAGGAAGGGAGAATGAACAGGAGGAAAAAGAGATTGAGATATATCTTTCTTGCTCCTTCCCATTTCTGTAATATCTCTGGTGTAGATGTGTCACTCCATAATACAGTTTAGCCTGAGAACCCTTTCTTTATGGTCCTAGGACTCTGGGGCCTCAGTAACCCTATTTGGTGGGGTTATCTCTTCAGCCCTAGAAGTGACGATGGCTTTCTGTGGTTTCTAGTTTTTGGGTGCCCATCCTCATTTTTTGCAAGGAGTCCCTTCACTATGGTCACTCTCCTCATATCTGCATCTGGAGTGAAGGCTGTTTCCTGCCAAGACCCTCACTGAGCATTCCTGAGGTTTGAAGGAATTGGCAGGGAAGGGATATGGTGCTCTGAGGGAAGATTTGGTCTATTTGATATTTGTGCCTAGTGTTAGCCCTGAACAGGTTTTAACGCTTTTATGTCAGTGATAGATTGTCACACAGGGAGGAGATTCCAGAGTAGAGCATTTGATGTCATAACTCCAAGAAGGATCAAAATGACTTCACCTGCTCTTTTTAAATTTTTTTTATTTTTTGGTACTGGGAATTGAATTCAGGACCTTGTGCTTGCCAGGCAGGCGCTTATGCCACTGAGCTATGTCCCTGGCCCTAAAATAACGTCAGTATCACCTCCACTGTGTGGCTATTATCTATTTCAAAGCCTGCAGGTGACCACTCCTTCCTTTTTGCTCTCACCGCTCCTGTTCACAGTTCTCTAGTTTTCTATTTCCAAAACCTTTCCTGGGAGGCTCCTCTTAAAGGCAGGGAGAGGTAGTCTCACTTTTCTCTTATTTCCCTGGCCATACCTAGTGTCTAAGAGGCACTTGATAAGTGCTTTCTGAGTGACTTTATCCTCAAAAGTAATGTCCCCAAAAACTAAAGTTATCTGACTGTGAGTCATAGACAGTGTGGGCAGCAGTAATGACTGCAAATTCAAAAGCGTAGTTTACTGTAGTTGGAGAACTGGTATTAAAAGAAGAGTTTCATGCTTTTACAAATCATCTTCATTTTGGCCTGTATGTAACTGTAAACTGATGATGTGATCAGGCTGGGGGCATGTGTGAGATTTTGTTTGCGTAGCCATATATGGCTTGTGTGTTTCATCTTCCCATCACCAAGGTTAGTCTCTTGATATTGGTCATAATGTTATGGATGTATAATATACTATATCAATCTACTTCATGAATGGTGGAGTACTTCAGAGACAAGGACTGGTGATAGATAACCTCCTAAACCCACTGGGCTAGTTTGGACAGCAGATTGCAGATTATCTGCTTAGAAATGACCTTGAGTTCAATTAGTTAACATGATAAAATAGGGGCATTTGCTACTGACTTTTTAGACTTTAATCTGTCAAGGTATGTACCACAGAAATTGCTCCAAGATATTTCACTCCCCTAAGGTCCTCTTCTTCTTGGTTGACATTGAGGCTATCTAAATCTGAGAAATTAAGCTAATTTGTAGATTTTCTTTTAACTAGTCAGAATATCTGTCTATTTTTACTTGAGCTGGATCCTCTCACCCCAGAGGATCGCCAAGCATCAGGGGTAAGGGGGCCCAGATTAAAGATCAAACACATAATAACTCTTTAAGCACCTTCATTTTATGAAGCCTAAATTGAGACAAATGACAAAGGACATTTTTTCTGACATCTGTATTTATATTTATTAGGGAAAACCTTTCAGGAGCATACATATTAAATCACATTTTGTTACAAGTTCAATGCATCATTTAGTAAGAGTGAGAGTCATAAAAATGAGATTCTTCTGGGAAATATGAGATGTATAGTCATCATTATGCCCTGAAATTACAAACAAAAAAGCCACCAGAGCTCAATCATTCTTCAATACTTTACAGGGCCCTTACTGGTCCTTCAACATGTGGTGCATGTACTCTCCTCAGGAACTTGGGCTTGATGTGCTGTCTGCTATTTTCTCCCATGGTTTACTCCTTCACTCTATTCATATCTCTGCTCAAATGTCACCTTTCCTGATCCTCAGAAGGTCTTTCTTGGTCCTTCTATCTAAAAGATGAACTTTCTTCACACTATCTCCTGCTTCTGTGTATTTTCTTCTATGGCATTTATCACCAGCTGACCTCATACTATATACAGTTGTTTATTGCCAACATCCCTTCTAGAAATTAGTTTAGAGAGATGGGATTTTATTCATCCATTTCTGTGCCCTAACATCTAGAACTGTTCTTATCGGAATTTCAGAAAAGAATAAAATCTGTATGAAATGAGATACTGGGGGGCTGGGGATTTAGCTCAGTGGCAAAGTGCCTGCCTGGCAAGCGCAAGGTCGTGAGTTCGGTTCCCAGTACTGGAAAAAAAAAAAAAAGAGATACTGGGAACTTTCCAGGGTAGAGCTTTAAAAGAGTAGCCAACAGGTCAAGCTATCACATTTAGCAATTGTATTTTCCCAACAAATTCTTGTCATTATACAAGTCATTAGGAGAGGAACTAACCGTTTCTGCTACATGTAGAACCATTCACATCGCTGCATGATTTGAGAAGGAAGGGTCCAAAGTTCACCTTAACTAAAAATACTGTCATCCACCCTGCTACCCCAGTGCCTGAAATCCCCAAAAGCAGTTCCCAGGAATTGCAATCATTTTGACCTCATGAAGGCATTGGACTATGGGGGCGGGGGCAACAAATGAAGTGTACTTTGTTGACCTGATTATTCAGTCAGGACCCAGTGCCACCTACCTAGAGGAAGGTCTGGATTCTGGACCCCAGGCCTTAGGAAATCAGAGACATCGAGTCATCCTTGGCAGAAGAGGGCAAGAGACAGCAATGATGGTCCAGGGGCTAGAACAGTTAACAGCTTGGGTGGAGGAAGCACCTGTCCTTTAAAGAGTGGGGTGGCCTAAGGTAGAGGGGCTTCCCATCTGAGAGATCAGATTGTGATTTCTGGCTCCTCTACTTATGGATTCTAAGGATGATCTTGGGCAGTTTACTGAATCTCTGTACCTATTTTCCATCTGTGGAATGGGAATTATATAAGACCTACCTCAAAAAGCTGTTGTGAGGAGTAAATGAAACCTGTGTACAGTGGTACCTAACAAAGGTACTTGCTCAATAATTAAATTCAGTTCTAAGGGTATGATTAAGATGCCCCTGCTCCTTATGACTCACTGGAGCTCAGCTGATCTGCCGTCTTCTCCTTGGGGCATTTTCCAATGGATCACGTCATAGGAGAGCAGGGTCTCTTTCCTCTGAGCTGCTAGGGCCCTCATCAGTACTGCTTTTGTGCCCCTT